GCTGATGATAATGAGACAAGTTTCAATTCCAAGTAATGCTTTCTTTGCCCTTAAAAGAAAAACTTCATTGTGGCTGGTATGAAATTTTATCTGACAGAAGACTGTCGCTAGTAGACTCGCCTAACAGCAGTATTCTGTTATGATGAATAGGTTCATGCCAGCAAAACTGGTGCACAGATGGTTACCACACACAATTAATATCTGATGAACTTGAGTTATTGCCGTAAAAAGAACGCATAGAACACGTCACGTTATATCGACAGGGTACAAAGTTAATCAAGTAATTAAAATTAATGAGCCAACCAAGCGTGTAATCGGGTGTTCATCGTCTAACGAACATAAACGCATGTTAAAAGATCGTCTTGTATAAAAACTATCAACTTTTTCTCGGTATCGTATAGTCGTTACAAATATTAAATTTCATTCTCTTTTCTGAGAAATAAAAAGCTTCTTAAAATAAGAAATTCAAAATTTACAGTATCCGTATTCGCATGATTTATTATATTTGATGGAAAAAGAAGTTTGCTTGACTTTACAATTTACATTGTTTGCGCTTAGTTTCATAGTTTATGTGACTAAAAGGTGCAGCACCATTAGCAATGATAATACATTGCTTTAATGTCTTTGTCATTATCTTTATCGATTGACCACTTTCACTGTTAAAAACTGCAGATACAGCCTGTAATAAATTTAAGTTATTCACCTGATAAGGAAGATCCTTTGCCAAACCTCATACTGAAACGCGTATACGACTGCGATATCAAAATCGTTCATTACATGACATGCAATACGTACGGTTTACCAAAACAAACATATCTGTTATCTCAAAGACAAAATGGTACTTACACACAGCCATACTTTCATAACTACCAGTCGAATTCCCGCCTGTTACTTTGTAAAATTAAAGCCATATTCAGAGAAAAATAAAATAAATATTTGTATAACGAGAAACACGTGGGTCGTGCGTTATTTTTGTCACGATTATGACGTACAATTTAAAACCTTATAACAACTTGCAGAGATTTCACAATGACATTCCAATAGGAATTCCTAAAGTGCTATGGTAATCTGAACTCTAAAGTGGTATGGATGAATATGCAACTTAATTATTAATTACACTATGAATGCTGAAGGAAACTAAACGTTTCTTTCAGGGTGTTAAAGTCGGTAATGGCACGACTGAGAAAGCTGAGTTAGAAATAGCACAAGACAGGAGTGACAGACAGAAAGGTGATAACATTTGTTCTGTTAGTGCGATGATGGATGGCAAACAGACCCTGTTTGTGCTTAATGTTTATCGGAAGATTCAAAGTACTGCATAATTGATTAGCTAAAGAACGCACATATTCTAATAAGTAAAAGCGTTGGTGGTCTTGAGGATATAGACTTTGAAAATATTTATAGTAGCATACTTACATATAAATATTTAAATACAATAAATGATAACTATATACAGTATTGTCATTGTTTCCAAACAACAATAAGAAAATTGACAAATACTAAGTAAAGTAAAGGTACAGCTTTTGATCGTACTAGTAATTATTTATTGTAATCATTCTTTTAATGACGAAGAAATTTAAAGCTAGAGTTCGTAATTGACTGAGACTCACAAGGCTTTCTTCTTATAAGCAGAACAATAAGTCTATCATCTCCGTTAATGTGATCTTCAATTTATTTTAAGATTTATTATAAATCCTAACGTATTTCATCGCAGCAGTAAAAGATACTAAATAAGGAAGGCACATTTAAGAAGTGTCCTTATTTTCTCTTGTGATTTGGCTGCTGTGAAAGGAAATGACCTAATCTTCCCACATGATTGTCCCTAAAGTTATTTTGGAACACATTATTATAAATCGTAAATTAAAACTGGTAAGTAAGCAAGATCAAAGCTTCCAAATTTGGATTGTATTCAGAATAAAACATTAAATGTGTAAGGTTATAAATATCGTGTTCTTCAAATTTTCTAAGAGAAAGATAGATCGTACAGGATATGAGATGGTGACTGACAAGAAAAATGTTTCAGATTCAAAAAAGACACTTTGGTGTACTATCTAAAATTGAATTGTATACCTTTGGAATAAGAACATTGAGATTTTATATACACAGTTAAAGTCACAGTATAACGTGTCGTTAGAGGCTTCCACACTTATTACAGTGTGTTTAATACCACTAGGTAATTCAAAATCCGGCTTGTCATAATACTTCTACGAATCAAGTATATCACTTTCCTTACTAAAATTAAATGTACAGGAAAGCCTGTAATTCAATCTGATCGTCTATTGTGTGTCCCAGTTACGAGATAATGGTAAAATGCGTTCTCGTAAATTTATTTTCGTATCCTTGTTATTTGAAAACAACAAGTTGAAATATGATATTGTACAAAATATTTATTCAAAATCTTTCAAGTCTCTAATTCATTAGTGAAGATAATATCAACACTATGTTCACATAACTCCAATCACATTTGGAATATGGTGAACAGAGATAAAATGTAAAATAAAAGCTTACTAATGTTTTCGTTTAAGCCATTGAATGTTTCTATATAGCGTCCTATGACAAGTCATCGCAACCTAAGAAAAATACCATGATTCACTGGCAAACAGCGGGAAATTTCCGGGAAATCTCAAGATGTCCCTTATATTATTACCATTTAAATATAAATATAGCCGAGTTTGAAGTACAGGCATATACAGGGAAAGTTCTCCAAAACTTATGTTCAATTATCTTATTATGCAATCTTCTTAGCTTTATCTAGATTGGTATAGGATAACCAATTGATTGAGTATATTTAAGATTTTTGGTAACCTGCTAGTGGACCAGAACGTACCTTGTTTACACTAATAAAGGATAAATCATCTTGGATAATCAAAAAGGATATTTAAGTGAAGTGAACAAAATGCAGCATAGCAACTCCAAATAAGGGAATTGAGTTCCCTTTTTTAGTTTTAGATAATTTCCAATGTGTACATGTGTCACACTGAAACAGAGTCAGTACAAAGTCCATGGGACAAAATCCTACACAAGACTAATCAATACACTCTTGTTAAGTTCTACTACTGCCTTAGCTTTTACTACCATCTGGATTTGCGTTATAATGTGTATTTTATTGCTGGCATATGCCACTGATATGACGTCATTAATAACTGTTCACACAGATCGATCGGTGCGTTAGCACTCCATTAAATATTGTATTCCTTTAGTCTAAATGATTATGTGTTTGAACAATTGGCATTTTGCTTTTGTTAAGTATTACTAATTACAATGCCATCCACAAAATTATTTCCTTGTCTGAAATTTCTGCTTTATGTTTTGATTCTTGATGACTCATATACTTTTAATGTAAAATTTTCGACAGAATTGACAGCGTACAATAATAAAAAAGAAATCAGCCAAATTGATGGAATCGCTTTCAATTAATGCCTCATCATATATGTAACAATTGACTTTAATATTATGTGTAGATTTCGTAATAACAAACAAGTTTATAAAAATGTTGCATGTTGCAATTTCTATTCTAATGGCACCTTTGCGGGACAAAGTGAAAGTGTTTTACATATTATATGTAAGAACAGTGACATTTGGTATTATTTTAACGATCATGGTTCTCGGAAGTTTGCAGAAAGCTTGCTGTTCCTTTAATAGCACTTTGCTTCCTGCATCCTGCTCTGTGCTTAACATTGGCTTGGCTAAAAACAGCTGCTTATTTATTTAACGATTAAATGCTTAGTCTTCTGAATTTGAATTACGGGGTTAAAAATTTGTCATTATTAATAGTTAGTTGTCTATTTTGTTTTTATAACCACATATGTAGGAGTCGTCCATAAAGTGTTTGTAATGTTAGAAAAGGCTTTGATAAATTTGCTATTTTGCCATCTTACTTAAAGCGGAAAGCAAGTAGAATGAAGGCTATTAATAATGAATTTGGTAATATGGGCTTATTTTACAACAATAAAAATAGGACATGACAAGAAATACAAAATAAAGCTGTCTTAATAGAAAACAATCTTAAAAAATCTGGGAAAGAAATGAAAAGAACACCGTGTTTGTAGAATAAAGAAAGCCAAGCAAACGGCTGGTATACTTCCCGAAATAGATGTTGGTTTCCTCTGCCCCGCGACAGGGTGGCGTCAACATAATAAACTCAGAAGTCGTGAGAATTGAAATAAAACTGCACATGCACGGCTCGAGGACAAAACTTTAGTTAAGGAACGATACGTGATAATATCCTAGTTAGTGCTTACTTAATCTTACTATTATTATAATATTATGGATGTGAATGTTTGGATATTTAAACGTTGGATATTGAATCTGGTAAATACCTATACAGAAGGGGTTTTAATGAACTTTAGCACTGGGAAGTTATGATACTGTTAACCTGCAAAAATGTTAGCTTTCAATAGGATTTCCAAAAAACGATATATAGGACAGAATACTAGGATATTGTAGAATTCTTATCCCCATTGCATTGAATTCTTATGATTATGTAGACAAAATCGAGTAATATAAGTAAAATCTTATGAGCTAGGCTCGTCTCCTCTTCGAGATTGTGAATGCTCTACCACTAAGCAAACGTAGTACTCACAATAAGTTTTGAGTTCAAAAAAACTTGTGCGTGAACACTACCTGACTACGTGATTTTTCTCTATAGTTTGCATCGATATATATTATATTTATTATATTTTATGTATGTTATGAGTATGTATATTTTATAAATATGCATCAATTTGTATTTAAGTATTATTAGTTTTATTGTTGTTATTTTAATGTTATGTTAATTTTCAATTTATTTAATTTTTAGTAAGTTTGCCCTACTATTTGCTCCAACACTCATACTGGTTGACTAGTAGAGAATGCCTATGGCATTAAGTCCGCCGTTTGCTTAGGTTTGGCAATGAAGTTAAAAAAATAGATTTCTGGTCTAGTTACCAACTTGCCTTAGCGACAGAGCATCATGTTGTCATATAACGTTTGATATTAATTTATTTTCTTGTTGTTTCCAGGGTGGCAACCAACACTCCACATCTGGTGAGCCTGGGCACGGGCCGACTGAGCACCGCCGTCACGCTACACCCCATCAAGCAAGGTGAGCATTTTACACGAGTAAACGTCACATCCTTTTTTACACAAATTAATTGTCCTAGCCCCCGAGTAAGGGCTGTAGGCTTGTGTTATGGGATACTCGGTGAACGGATAGAATACATATGTAACTCTATGATTCATTAAGAGGAATGCCGAACTATTCAAAAATCCCTTAACAAAGGTCATGATTTATAACAGCTTTGTTAGAAGCACATTGGAGTACTGTTCAGTACCCCTAGCACGAACCATTATCGAATCCGAATAGTTTGCAAACAGAAATATCAATGTCAAATTTTGTATGGAAACTTGAACAGCAGCGGCGTAAAGTCCGTAACGAGAACTAAAAATCAGTACACATTTGACAATGACATTTCGGACTCGCAAACGATACGAATTCGATATTGGTTCATGCTAGGGGTACTGTTATTTGGTCTCCTCAATACAGTATACATCAGCTTCGTATTGAACGCAATCTCACATTCAGTAGTGGGTTGAATACAAAATCTACGAACTACAGCCAAAGACTTCAGTATTTCAATATGGACAGTCTTCTCACTAGCAGAAATATTTTGGATATCACATAATTATTTAAAATTGTCAGAAATGTAATTGATTGCCAACAATTTCTCAGTAAGATAAATTTTAGAGTTCCCCGTAAACCACTACGCTTTCCAGTACCAACATTCAGTAAACCAATCGCTCGCACTAACATGCAAACACACTCTGCATCACATCGCTTGGCCGACGCTTACAACAGACTGAGTGAGAGTGTTGATATCTTCTATGAATCTTATCTACGATTTAGACCTAAATTTTCTGAGTTATTAAGAGTGCGTAGATTTGGTTTTTTGTCGTTTATTTCGTTATATCAAAGAATTATATATATGTATATATATATATATCATCAGCCTAAAATGACCCCCCAGCGCGTGCACAACAAACCTTCCTTATGAACGGAATATGAAAGTCGAGCGATAACCACAGACATAGATCGAATTAGATAACGCAATTGTTTTTTTTAATACATAACATTTTGTATTTTTTTTTATTTGAATAAATTTTTATTTAAAAGAAACCTGCCAGGTGCAAGTCGGACTCGCGCACCAAGGGTTCCATACAAACCAGATTTTTCAAAAAATATATATTATGATGTAGGTAACTACAAATTAACTAATTTACGGTTTTCGCAATTTTTTCTTTATCTGTACTATAAGACTTACTTCATACCAAATTTCAAGATTTTAAGTTCACGGGAAGTACCCTATTTGGAAGGTTTTGATTCCCGTGCGAGTTTTTTTAGAGTTAGAAAATTTGCGCAAATTCGCGGCATAAACGGCTGTATCTTTTGATTGCTATGGCTTAGAAGATTGATTTTTTCACAGCTCCAAGGGGCAGCATTAGATATGAATTCCATTTTGATACCTCCACGCGTTCCTGAGAAAAACGGTCTTGTCAGACGGACGGACAACAAAGTGATCCTATAAGGGTTCCGTTTTTTCCTTTTGAGGTACGGAACCCTAATTATGTACTTAGCTTGTCAAAAGTAAGACTTGATTTATACGCCTCACTCTTAATCCGATCGAACTCACGTCTCCGTTTAATGCCAAAAATCACCACACAGATTGTGGAACTGGAACTGTTTGAACAACATACAGCAGAGATTACAGATAACACAAGGAGGCCGATCGCGCTAAATGTCAAATGACTGAAACGCATTGAATCGTAAACAAATCGCAACTTTTACGACGTAAACGTATCAAGATTGGACCGCACTCCAGTGAACTTCAGTCCAAAACATCAAGTGGATTTCAGTTGACAGGTGAAAATTAGCGCGACATCGATTTCGTATAAAGTTGAGTTGCAATTAAAATTGTACTTAGATTAAACCATAATTGAACTTTGGTGAATCGTTCAAAATAATAAATAGAGCGATAGGCCTGCAGTTATATGAAACTGTTCTGATATAGGCCTCACTACTAATAGATATAAATTTCCTTTCTGGCACGAATAGACTAGTGGCTCTAGGACGGCGGGGAGCCCTAAGGGTCTCCCCAAACCCAAACAAGGTGACGCTGTTAAGGTGATCTCCAACCAGCAGCATATACACTCTGAATTCTTCAGTCCGCTTCAATTGACTTTTTTAAGAACGTTTAAAAGAGTTTTTTTTTTGTTTGTTATCCTAAGGTCGAGTAACAATAGGCTCAGATCCGACATGCGACATCTACGTGGTGGGTACCGGCGTGGCAAGCGTCCACTGCCGCGTGGAGAACTCCCACGGAGTGGTCACGCTGTACCCCACCAGTGGGAGCACGCTGCTTGACGGGTTGCCAGTGGATAAGCCTACCAGGTTGTCGCAAGGTAAGGGCTCTTTTACGGTATGAAATTTTAACTCAGTATGTCCGTATAGGCTAGGCTCCTAAGGTCATAAAAATACAGGCCATCATTGGCTGTTATTGATGTGTAACATCTTTCCTCTCGCTTTGCTGTTGGTTGCTACATAATAGCGGTGATTACGGGGTAAAGTAAATTCAGTGTGTCAGTTACATTATAAAAAATATGGCCACATATTTTCTCTTTTACCAATCGAAAAAAATTACAAAGATAAAGTTTGGGAGTGGGGGCTCGTGACGTCACTTCTAAGTTAATATTGTACCAAGATGTGACTTCATGCGACATTTCAAATCAATAATATTTCAGTAATGTTTTAAATATATGGAAAAAGAAATAATAGTTTTTCATAATTTACCTTATAAGTAGACGAAGAAACAAAAAGCTCGTCGTAAAAATTGAGTCATCATCCCTATTGCTTGGACGAAAATATACACGCAAAATTCCGGTTTTGTTTTAACTAAACAACACCACAAATACCTCCAGTACTGTTCTGAACCACAATAAATATTGTGGTTTGATGATGTTTTTATTATATAAAAACTTAATCAGAAACTCGGACACGTTGCGGTCGCAAGTTACTATTGATCACGTAATAGGTTTGTGGAACTATTATAAAAACATTCGTATGACTTTCCATCCGTCTATCACCACCAAAATTACTCTTTGGGATTTGCTCAAAAACTACTGTACCGATTAAGTTGAAAAGGGCGTAGTAAATTTTCCAATTGAATTGGTGCCCCATCGGGAAAATTATTCTCCTCATAACAGAAGTTTATAGACTGGTTAAGTGTACTTAATAATTGTTCGTATATGCAAAAATCGCAAAAAGAAAAGTGTCGTTTCGCGATCGGATACAGTGACTATTGTGTGTCGGGAACAGATGCGAGTGAGTAATGAGAATGTGGCCAGTGGTAGGGGTGTCGAGTCAATAAAAGATTACGTCCAAGGGTAGACCGATAACTCTACTAATAACATGTACCCGCAATTTCGTCTATTTATTTTATTTATTTATCTCTCCTCCGTTCACAAGTACATTTTAAACACATAATGTATAATTAACTTGTGGTAGTTTTATAAGTAGATAGGTAGAACTTTGTGAGAGACTGACGCCTAAACTAAGCATAAAAATGCTTGTTGACGACAGAATAAAAGTCTAGTTAAATGTTAGAATTTACTTAGAAAAATATTTACAGAGCGAAAACTAAAGACTGAATAATAATATTTGAAGTAAACTAGTGTTGCTATGCAACGAGAACGTCTAGGGCTGCGTTCTCAACAATGCTTGTATATAAGGACAAAAAAAGGAAGTCGAATCAGTTTATAAAAGGAAACCGAATAAAATGTAGTTTTGACTCATTAACATTAGAGTCATGAATATTAAGAGCCGACTTGGAGGGTACCAACTTTCATGCTTGACGGGAAGAGCTGTGCACGCATCCCACACACACATACTATATAGACGCCAGTGATGCATTTCTGTTTCATCTTTTCCAAAGTTTCACTTCAAAAACAAGCGAGCGAGTGCGAATGTCACTGTAAAATTTTGTGTGGAAACTTGAACAGCAGCGCCACAACGGACCTAACGAGAACTAAAACTCAGTACACATTTGACATATAAAATAGATATAATTCAACTATTCGAATTCGATAATGGTTGCTGCTAAGGGTACAGTAGTAGCATATAATGATATGTAACATTTATTTTGACCTCCCACCTTAGTAAAACAGAAATAGAACCTCCTTCAAAGGAAATAAACAATTTTGACATTGTATTTTAAAATAGCGCGCGCTTCGTCGACATGCTGTTACACACTTCCGTCACATTTCACGACATCACTCCCAGCAATTGCAAGAAAGCGAGAGGAACGATGTTACACACCAATAATTACCAATATTTAATAACCAATAGTTTGAAAATCGTTATTACGCTTGTGCAAAAAGTGTTTAATTTAATTGATTGGTGCGTGTGAAATCTTATGAAATTCATATTATAATTTATTACGTTTTGTTTACAGGCAGCATGCTAACCATAGGCCGATCCAACTATCTCCGCTTCAACCACCCCGAGGAGGCCAAGCTCATGAAGTCTGTCCTACCGTCGGCTCACGTTTCCATGGCTCCCGTGCAATTCCAACCGAACGAACAATGTCTTACTACAGGTAATATACAGCTAACTTAAGTTCTATCGAAGACTTGTAGTCATTAGATCGAATTATCATCAGCTCATTAAGAAAGAAAGAAAATAGCTGCGTTTTACTTACCACTAAAACGCATGTTGTGTCCGGAGACTTATTCGGGGTCATTTAAACATAATTTTGAGTCTAGCATCTTGCGTTTTCGGTCATTCATCTCCATAGACAAGTAGGCTGAACATAACTCCTTTGCTCTATGAACGGTGGGTCACGTGACGATGACGTAATTTTCCCGCCACTCTCGTTCACCAGGTCGAGCTTCGCAGAAATATGCACTCATTTTGACCTCAAAATTCTAAAATTCTAAAATCAAAGACACCAGGCAGCACTAAAAGTGATGACCCCGAATAAGTCTCCGGACACAACATGCGTTTTAGTGGTAAGTAAAACGCAGCTATTGTGTCCTACGGCCTTATTCGGGGTCATTTATACATAATTTTGAGGCATTGTTTGTTATCGCCTGGTGAACCAGGACGCCAATGTGCTGTGTTAAAAAGAGTCAAGCTATGAAAGTTAACTATATTTCTTTAATATCAACCAGCTAAATCAAATTTTATTTTAATCTCACTAAAACATATCTTTACCTTCTTTCCATATTTTTATGAAATTCATTGTTTACCTAAAGGCTGAAAGAGATGAACTAAAGAATTCCCTTGTGGACGTAAAATTTCCTTTCTGTAATGATTTTTAAAAGTATTACCCGACCTCCAGTTTGCTCTGGCCATTATGTCTTCAAGCGGGTCATTGTCTAACCAACTACTAGACGCGACAGCAGAACGAAAACTACCTGGAGTTGCATCTATTCCAGCTTCTTTTAAAACCGTTTTAATCCAACCAGCAATAATTGTTCTTGTAGCTGGTTTCGCTTTTCCTGTGACTGTGACAAATAAACGATCACTGGAACAAAGTAACCTGCGAGCCGAACCTAGGTCAACCAGCTTTTTAAGCCAACGTATTGGATCTAAAACAGCACTTTGAGAATTTCTTAACAATCTCCATCCCGATTGGATATGAGTTGCAGAATCAGTCTTAGAACCAAAATGAGGCCAAAACACTATAGAATCCTCTTCAATTATAATTCTATCTGTAGCGACGCTCAACAGTGTCAAGTCATGCACCCTACGTCCCGAGCATAGTAATAAAATAACCGCACTTATTCGAGATACTTCATATAAGGTGGGATTTTCAAGAGTTCGTTTATCTAACCACACCACCAATGAGTTAGGGTCCCAAATCGGCCCTGGATGACTTTTTGGCTTAAGTAAAGAAATAGATTTAAGCATTTGTTTAACAAGTTGGTTTGAACTCAATCGAACTTCACTATTTGCATTGCAAAGAGTAGATACTACCGATTTATGTAACAAAATAGTCCGATAAGACAAACCTTCTTTCAGATGTAAATCAGCTAAAAATCTAGCTAAATCACTACCCGTTGGATCTGAAAAATTTACACCATGCTCTGAACACCACTTTAACCACCTCAACCACGCTGGTTTATAGGTATTAATAGTGGAGGATCTCCAGCTACCCTGAAGAAGACGTTTTTGCTCCTCTGACCAATCACCTAACGATTGAGACCACCCCCACATCTCCAAACCTCCAGAACCAAATCCCCTACCCGTGGTGGAGGTAGACCCGACGCCGTGTCTATTAAAACTCTCTCCAGTCGGTGAATTGTGAAAGGTGGTGCGATTGCCCGCGCCTTCAAGTCTGCCCTCCAGAACGCCTGTTTCCATCTGGGTGCCACTATCAGATATATGCCTTGTGCATAATTCAGATGCATAAGAACTTGGGGCATTAAGCTCGGTGGAGGAAACACCCACGCCAGCTTGAAATCCCACTGAATCGCGAACGCATTGTGCCTCCAAGCTTGGCGATCTTTTTGATCCAATGTCACATATTGAGGCACCACGTGTGCCGTGATGGACGCAAATAGATCGACTTGTGGAACCCCCCACTTCGCAAATACTACCTTCGTTCCTTCTGAAAGCAGGTGCCATTCCGATATCATCGACCTTTGACGTGATAGACTGTCCGACACGTTGTTGTAACGACCTGGAATATGATAGGGGCTTATGTGAATGTCGTGCTTTTGTAACACATGAAATATCTTGAAAACAAGTCCTAAAAGAATTTTGGACTTGTTCCCGCCTTCGTTTCTGAGGTAAGCCACAACAGCTTTGTTGTCGCATTGAATCAAAAGTGAGGTACGATTCAGAGAGGGAGCGAATTCTGTAAGACATTTGAAAATGGCCAGCATTTCTTTGTGATTCGAATGATAACGCTCTTCTTCTTCTGACCAGGTTCCTCTCAGGTGAATCCCATTCAGCTCCGCACCCCAACCGGTATCTGCCGCATCTGTAACCAAAAAACTCTTTGCTAACGGTGGGTGAAGTCTGGCTCTTTCCACACAATGCTCCTTCCACCACTGCATTTCTTCCAAAACCTGTGTGGGCAAGGGGTAAGTACCCTGAACCGGTAGTTTCAACAGACAATTGCTGTGAGCCAAGAGATGACGAAAATTTAATCGACCCGTTGGTGCAACCAGTCGTGCGAAATTCAAAACGCCGATGATGCTTTGAACCTCCCGCAGTGATGCCTTCTTCCGCTGTAGAAATCCCGATAGCATCCTTCGTAGACTCGTAATCTTGTTCTCTGGCAAGAACTTGCGGTTGTTCCAGGGATCCCAAATCAAACCTAGATATTCTATAATCTTTCTTGGCTCTAAAATGGATTTTTCTTTGTTGACCTGCCAACCCAATTGTTCTAGAATCTGTATTACGATATTTCTTGATTTTTGGCCAAATCTATAATATTATTTAGACCAAATGTCATGGCATCACTCTGCATAACTAAAGCATGAGTCAGGGCACCTAAAAACTTATCCGACCCAACCAAGTAATTTGGTTTATCAAATTGTTTTATTTCGTCATTTACTTCGAGGTCCGTATAACCAGGCGAAGCGTTGAATTGTTTCTGATAATCACTGTATCTTACATTATACCAATTTTTATCGTTAAAGTATTGTAATGAATTTATAACATTCAAATGTTCGTCGGAAGTAGCCGGCATCGAAGGTTGTCGCAGCTGTGATGCCAAACTCAAGTTAAACGAATCGGTGATTTCTGGCTCACGTGATTCATGCACATCAAAATTATCATCTTGAGTAGGAGCATTGAAATTATTTTAAAAATATTATGAGGGTAGTAAATAAAATTTCTTAGTTCACAGACCTGTTGGGCGAGGTGTTTTAATACCTTGCCTTGTTTCCGACGACGCTTATTCCTCCCCTTCTTGCTACTTCTCTTTCTTTTGCTAGACTGCTCCACCTCCGATGATCTCGAAGATTCAGAGGAAGATGACGATTCCGATGATGTTTCAGATTCACTGGCTACTTTATCCGACATAACGACTGTTCACTAGTTATATATAAATTGACTACGAAAGTTAGCAACGTTTTTCTTGAGATGTTTACTGCTCCGAAAACAGGACGCCAATGAGTGCATATTTCTGCAAAGCTCGACCTGGTGAACGAGAGTGGCGGGAAAATTACGTCATCGTCACGTGACCCACCGTTCATAGAGCAAAGGAGTTATGTTCAGCCTACTTGTCTATGGAGATGAATGACCGAAAACGCAAGATGCTAGACTCAAAATTATGTTTAAATGACCCCGAATAAGGCCGTAGGACACAATACATTTTTTTTGACATAAACACCAGACGTTCCATATTAATGTCCCTGTGGCGACGGCATTTACACGCCCCACATATAACTAATGAATGACGCAATCACTCGCCTCATCAAGAGATGGCGCTACCGGCGCTGCACTCAAAAGTATGGAAAACCTACATCGCGCAGGAGAAATTCGGAGGCTAACAAATATATGTATACAATTCCCGACCAACATTGGTCGGGCTTGTTCCTCTGATTCCGTCGGCCTAAGCACGTCTGAGAATACCCCGACCTTACCACACAGGCCACAAATCAAATACCAGCACTACACAGCTAGCAAACTTACACTAGATTAGCATTAGGCAGACACCGCACCCGTAGGATTAGAGTGTGAAGACCCGGTCTACACACGACAAGCTATACCAGGTACAGGTACGTACTTGGGCGCTTTTCCCTGCCCCCACGACAACGATTAACTAGAGCCGAGGTCCGAGTTTCGAAGACGCAATCTAGTTAAGCCGACCCCCTCAGGTTCGAATGGTCTAGATGCTCCAGATGCCGCTAGAAGTACTCGCCAATTTTTGGCTTGAGGTCCCCTTAGGATCTTGCCGTTCCCAAACCCGGTGATGCTGTAAAGATCATCATAAGGCCGTAGCTACCGAGTAAACATCATGCAGTTAGTGCGGATTGGTAGGTGCTAACGACTGTAGATGCAACCGGAGCCGACGGTTCTAAATATCAAATTAAGAATGACCCATTCTATGATTGGCGTTTGCGAAATTTGGTTAACTTCTACGATCGCAGACCGAATGCTAGCCTCAATTAGCGTAGAAGTTTTACATTATTATTGAGCCATCACTTATAAGGCTAATTAACATAAGGTGCTTCATATTAAAGTATTTAAATTAAATACATAGTTTTATTGTTATTATAAACTATTTTTCAAACTTTTCCATCGAAAGTTCAAAATTACGGGCCATACGACGAAGCGTGCGGTAAAACGTTTTACCGCACTCTCCCATACATCGCGCCGTGCGTATTTTTTACGGGTTTTTTTTTTATTTCTGTCGAACCTTTTTGGAAGCTTTTCTTATTCTAATCTTTACCTTTGCATCACTTAAATACTAAAAAGAAAAAGAGTCAAAATTTTTAGATCTGATTTTCATTTTCACCCGCACGTAGCGCCTTTTGGAAATGCGTACCATTTTTTTACTACAAAAAGTTTACTTTATTACTTAAATTGGGTATACTGGTTTCTCGCAAATGTGTTGAAAAAATTTGTATTTACAAACTCGTGACTATGGTAAACCCGAGACGAAGTCGTCGAATAACCGACTTACCGCGCACTTATATCAAAAATAACTATTGTTTTTTTATTAATTAGAAAATATTTCTTTCACAGCTTACATGAACCACCATACGGACCCAAACAACCAATGTTACCAACACACCAACATACAAAACGTGTACAGAGACACCTCACTAACGCAACTAGATCAAGAACTAGACATGACACTCAGAGAAATGACAAAGAAGAATAAAAAACCACCAGTTGCGCCCAGAAAACCGTACAGAGACTTAGACCAATCCGATTCTAATTCAGACCAAGAAACAAGGCCTAAAGTGTCAAGTATAATGGCTAAAGTGTCCAAGTTCGAATACTACGCGAAACAACAGAAATGCATAGGCCGAAGTCAATTCTATACGAGCAGTGAAAACGAGATATCACCAAAAGTCTTTAGCGCTAACTCCGTTACAGTCAACACTCCAGCTAAAGACGTCCTCGGTGGTAAAACTATGCCAAACTACATTAACAAAGTGAAACAGGAGCAAAAAGTAGTTATGCTGAACGAAAACAACGCTTTAGACCCGAAGAAGTGCTCGTATGCAAATGTCGCCATTAAGAACAAGACCAAAATTGATGATATCGTTAGAAATTTCGATGACAGCACTAGGAACGAATATAGATTGCCCAAGAAAGTGAACAATGATCAAGTGAACAGTGATAACTTATACGGTAGAATCAACGTGAAACAAGAACGTGACAAGTATAATATTGATCAGTGTAAGAATAACGTTGAACAGTGTAAAAATAATGTTGAGCAGTGTAAGAATAATGTTGGACAGTGTAAGAATAATGTTGAAAATTACAAGAATAATGTTGAGAATTGTAGAGAAGGCGACGGCTATGGAAGGATAGGGGGTGGGGATAGAAACGTTAACTCCGGTAACAAAGCGTTATCTTTACCCTCGCCTGCCTTCGATAGAAACCCGCAATATTCACCGGTGTATGCCAACTTTCAATACGACAGGAGTTTTGAGGCTGAACACATGAGAAAGAAGGTAAGTCTTATTTCAGTATTATATATTTTGTATTTAGTTTGTTTATTCATAGAATCATACAGTTATGATATAATGAAAGACTGACTTATTACCTTGTCAGATGGAATTCGATCAACAAAGAATGAACATTTGCAAAGTCTTTGCATAAAAAAATATTTTTTCAACTTATGATAGGTCTGAAATAATTAAAAATTTCCTTAAATGTATATAGGAACACAAATAAGCAACAATTGATCAACAGAAAGAAAGCAATACAAGTAAAGGGACACCAACAATTTTTTTTTATCTTTAATTACGGCAAGCTGCCGCAGCTGCATTTGACATTTTTTCTACGTACTATATCACATACAATTGCGTCTCGTGGAGTTCACATGAATGTAACCGTCTGATATGTTACATACATGTGAACTCCACCGGACGCAATTAAAAAAAACGATAAGAAAATATAGAATTTTCTTCATACAAAAAAAACACTACAATTTTTTTTTCAAAAACTTGGCATTTGATGTATTTTTGGCACTATAAAAAATGATAGGGGATCATTATCATTCATGAAAAAAAAAACAGCTCGATACGGTGAAATCGGTTCCTATGTTATATTTTTTATGTATAATATTTTTAGTATATGGGAATCTGCATCGTTGTGAATAAGCCTAGGTGTAAGTAAATAATTTTCCTATTATTCCTGCTGAGTTATTTCAAATTATAACGTTCCTTAAGTGAGGAGATTTTACGTACTTATTTAATCCTTATTTCATCAGCAGCGTTCCCCCGTGACGATACACAGATGACTTTTTATCTAAGTCAAGTCAAGTCACAAGATCTTGCCCCCCTAGCCTGAGCACCGCAATATGATATATAGCACGTTTTTATCACGCTCAATTGTCAAATTACTATGGAGTTTTACAGTTAGACACGATAAAAAAGTGATAAAATGTATAATATAGTGCTCTTGCTATAGGGATTGGTCGCACTGTATATCAATCAGGCATTGAAATAGGTAGTTCTCGCTAGATCTAAAATGGCAAAATATGGTTTGTTGTTAACAATAGTGATTGCATTATTAATAATGATGGCATACAAAAATAATAAAAATAAACTTCAAATTTTATCTTGAAAAATGGCATTGCCTATTTATTCAATGGCAGAGTAAAATCAATTGTATATACGTCATCCGTCACCGATTAGACGGAAGATGAGATTCATAATTACAATCTATCTTATCTAAATATCTAAAGCTACAGGTAACTAACCAGATACTAACTGAAATAAGATAACTATCAGCATGTTTTTACTATACCTGTGACGTTAACGTAATGTAAAAATGCATCATACAATAATATATAAACATACATTCAATAGTGTGATTAGTGTGTGTCTCGTGATACTGAATAAATCTATTTTAGCAAAGACCATTTATAAAAAAACAGGAGGCACACGCACGCACGATGCAGGCACGAGTTTTGTTCACTTTCCGTTTAACGTAGCAACTATTAACATGGTTCGTTATTGTTTCCGTTATTATGAAAGTACTTTGACGACCTCCGTGGAGGAGTGGTTTATACGCCGGATTTCATGGTGTCGCTGACTCTAGAGGTCCCTGGTTCGAATCCCGGTGTGGGCAGATGTTTGTGTGATGAATACGAGCATTTGTACTCCAGTCATGGATGTTTAATATGTATTTCTATAAACATATACTTATATATGTACAATATTTGTATTCTTCCCATTACACAAGCCTTACAGTGCTTACACTAGCCTTGAAGACCATTAGTGTCTTTCTATCCAGATCAAAACATAACATTACTATTCAGGTTGAAAGTCAATAAGCTCACATTTGCGTTCTTTTTTATGTCAGAAGGGTGGCATACAAGCATGATGGTAAGCGGCACCATAGCCTATAGCCAATTGCGACACCAAAACTATAACTTGGGCTGTTGCCTACCCTGACCCAATCCCCTACCCCGTGAAGCCCTGAAACCCTACTCACCGACAGAAACATGACACCACCAAAAGGTAGGTAGTGTTATTTTTCTGTTGTCTTCTGTAAGGTGCAAGTTACTTTCCAAGGCGGGCGTTCCAATTCGAGCAAAAAATCCGCTATGTTAGGGCACTGTTACTCGTAAACAAGAGAGGCCTATCTCTCGCTCCAAATTATGTTTTATTTAATTCAATTCATTTATTTCAGCCATTTAGCTATATCAATAACATAAAAACAAGAAGAATAATAATAACTTGGAAATTATGAATTAAAAAACAAAATAATTAAAATATAGGTACATAATTGATTGATTTTATATTCAGCTTGTCAAATTTGTAATAGCTTCATAGGCATCATCTAACATAACGAGGTTGTCAGAGCATCATGCTGCGACACCATAAACCATAATTACAAATCAATTTTAACCTTGCCCCATTTTGATATGCGCAGTTATGCGACATTTTTTACATTATATTGATTACGTGAATAAAATAAATCTACAGACAAACAAACAAAATATTAAGTTGTTTCATTAAGAACTATAAAATTAAACAATAGGTGTTATCTTTGATACCATTCGAAATAGCGATAACGAGCATTCTGCAGATTTCAATGCGGCATTTTAATATTTCGCCCACCTTGGCAGACGGCTCTGACCATAATTGTACGCAAATTAGGACCAAATCTGTGAGAATTTAAAAGAGAATCGACAAACAGTGTACTGTTAGTGTTCAAAATCCGTGCAAATTGCTAAAACAGTTTCGAAACGAATAAAATATACGTAGCACTGTCTTTAAAACATCAAAGTGTAATAGAATAGAGTCTTTTTTTTGGTGTACAATCGGAAATATGACACTCAAGCCAGTGTCGAATGTATCAATTACCACTTTCGTATCGGAGAAGTCAAAATCGCGTTTAGTCTGAAGTCTCAATCTTTGGTGGATACAATCAGTTTTGTGTAGTGAACGTTTATTAAAAAAACAAAAGAAAATCTACAACGTAAAATGACGATCAAAAGTAGCGCAGTGCATAAAAAGGAGCCAAACCAGAAAAACTTGTTGAAACTCTTCGTGAGAAACTTGAAGAAAAATACTCGAGCATTGAAACAGTTGAAATTATCCATGGAACAGGATAGCAATCGTCAGAACTGCGAGAGAATAATCGAAATATCTAGTTCTGTTAACGACAAACTGGAGGTTGTACATAAATTGCGCAACGACATTAAAATATATCGAACCGTAAACACCATATTGACGAACCATTACATAAAACAAACAAGGGATCACGAAAACAATACGGATAGTAAAATTATCAAGTTGCAGAAGCAAATAAAACAGTCTTATGAAGATTTGAGAGAGGACATTAAATTACTAAATGACAACATTACGATTGAAAAGGACAAATCTCATGGAGGTTTTCTTAAGAATTTATCGTCCATAGAGAATAGTAACTTTTTCGTTATCGACAACGATGTAAAAGGCAATCAGCACAACCACCTGTTTATTAGGAACGAGATATACAATGACATTATTAAAAAGATTGATAAGCTGTTTCTTAGTATGGTAAGTTTTACCTATAGCAATAGGTACACACATCAAAAAAAATTTGAGATCACTTTGAAAAATAGATTGTTTTTTGTGTTACAGAAGACATTCTTTTAATTTCTTTTTCTGATAAGATTCTAAATTTTAAAATTTGAATTAGAACGTAAAACAATAAAATAATTCCATTGTTTTTCAATATTAAAAGACATGCAATCCAAGCTGACACTCATACCTTCAAATACTTATTACCTTTATACCTTCAAACGATGATGTATACCTTTATAAAACAGTATAAACTAAAATTATTCTTTATTAATTTATTATATTTTTTAAAACTTTTCATCTGATACGTTCTACCTTATTGAATATAAATAAGAAACATTAAACCAAGATATTCATTAAAATAAATAAACAACTATAGATTTTATTGCTAAGTAATAATCCTTTTAATGTCGAGCAGTTTCCAGCAACATACCTTAACTAGTCATATTACTGTTTAACTCTATTATAATAAGTGAACTGATATAAAATTTAGACTACTCTTTTCACTCTCGCATTTCCTTCTAATCCTCGCTATCCAAAGGTTGCCTAGAAGCGATCGCTTTTAGCGAAAAGGCCGCCCATTGCATCTCTTGTACTAGATATTTTTGTGCTTAATGTTAATTTTTTTCGTGGTGTACAATAAAGAGTTTTTGTATTGTTTTGTACACCCACATATTCATATAGTAGAAACATTCAATTCCATAAATACAAGTAAAAAGATAGAGTAGTTTTCTGTTAGGAAAATATACGTCTTACGATAATATAAGTATATTATATTATTGCTTAATGAATAACTAGATACACCAAGATATGATAAGAAACGATTAATAAAATAGATGGAACACATTAATCCAAGCATTAATCGTGTTAACACGTCAGATTGACTTGAAAAAGGTGTGGTGAAAAGATACGTCAAGTGAAAAGTGAATACCGAAATTATTATATTGTATCACACAAATATTATAAAGGCGAAAGTTTGTGAGTGTGTATGTTTGTAACTTCTTCGCGTCTAAACGGCTGGAGCGATTTTAATAAAATTAGATAAGGAGTTATTTGTCACCCTGGGTTAATACATAGGCTACATCTTACTACGGAAAAATATCCCTAATAAACCGCGGGTAACACCGCGGGGCACAGGTAGTAATATGTAAAACACAAAACCCGACTTATATAATGTTCCTTTACTAAACACATAATAGTTTCGCTTGCGAATTTGTGTGTATTTCCATTTAATGTGAGAATTTTATGAAACTCGTTTTAGTTAAGCAGACAATTCTTTTCTATTTAGCCATATTTATTATGTATTATGCCATATTTTGGACTTAAGACTTGGTAACGTAATAAACAAAGTTTTGCTTTTCCAAGTTAAGATTTTGCGTAAAACAATGTATCTTTCACCTTTACCCACCATAGTTTTCTATCTGTTTTTGTGTATGTCTGAGTAATAAAGAGTATTTCTATCTATCTTCGAAGAGAGGTAGAGCATACCATAGATTTTCCGCTTGAATTGGAGCGCCCTTCTGAGGAAGTAACCTCCACCTTACAGATATTGCAATCCACGAAGATGCGCCCCACTATTCCTCCTAACCGTTTATAGTAAATGTGTACCAGCTTTCGCCAATATTTGAGTGTTAACGGTACATGGTACATAAATAATAATATGATAATTATCTTTTTATCACTAATTATCCTTCAACCAAAAATTGGTGGGGCGCATCTTCGGGCGGATTGTACTATCTGTACAGAAGACCACAGTAAAATAACACTACCTTTTGGTGGTGTTGTATTTGGTTTGGTTGTAGGTAAGTAAGGTTCCATGGCTTTACGGGGTAGTGAAAAGTTGCAACCCAATTAACATAAAAAAATCTTCTTTCCAGGCCTACCAAGATAGGATAAAAGAGGAAGAACAGAAGGAGGCAGAAACGGCACGCCTCGAGGAAATCCTCAACATGTGCGCGGAATATGAAAGGCAAATCACTTCAGGTACTTACGACGAATCCTTAACTGTACTTTTGTTCAAATTTGAATAGCACTCACATCAAAAGATGCAGATAAAATATACGCATACGCCTAGATAGCGAAGGTTGCGGGTTCAAGTCCCGTCTGCTGCCTGTGGGGCATTAGCCGTCACAGGATTGCTATGGCTATCGCTTACGATTTTGTATTGTTATTAATTTCTGACCGCAGAAGGTTTTCAAATGACCCGCACTATTTTTTTTTCTTTTGTATTGGTAAAAACAATATAAAAGACAATGAGTTTAAGGTATTTAAAAACTTTCGGCGGTCAGAAATAACAAAATGAAATCGTAAGCGATAGCGATACCCATAGCAATTCAGTCAGGCGATTGAACCCCTGGTCCGCGTGGAATATTTACTAGTAAAATTTTCTTTAGATACAAACTTTTTTTGTTTATAATATGATTGTAGATAAATAAAGATAAACATAACCAATCGTATGTAACCTTCACAGGCATCCCGATCACGCCCACAGAGAAGCGGTCCCACAACAAGATCATAACGAACGGTTCGTTGCCACGCAGCGTCGCCATGAACAACCCGAACTTCGTGCAGACCAGCGACGGGTATTACAAGTGAGTAATAGACATTTTTTAATGTTAAAGGGGTGGTTATGGCCCGCCTGATGGTAAGCAACCATCATAGCTTATAGATTCTTGCGATACAAAATATACCGTGATGTGGCGTCACTAAGCGCGTTCTATCGTCTGTACCACGGCGAGTGTCCTGGGGAGTTATTCTCTCTTATCCCACCCTCTCCTTTCCTTCAGAAGACCACGCGCGCTGGCGTACGTTGTCACCGTCTAACTGTGGCCACAATTCCAACGGCTGCAAAGAAATTTGATGACTCATTTTTTTGTCGCACTATCCGTAAATGGAATGCTCTACCCGCTCACGTGTTCCCTCCCTCTTACAACCGGGATCCTTTTAAAGAGGCGTGTAGTGTTATTTTTCTGTGATATGCTGTAAGGTAGAGGTTATTTCCTCGGACAGGCGCTCCAATTCGAGCGGCAAATCCGCTTGACCCTACCTCTCTTGAATTTATACATAGACGCTTACGGCCAGTTTCAATAATCAACCGCCAGTAAAAGTTAAGGATAATCTGTTATTATAATCTAAATAATAAAAGTATCGAAGTGACAAAGAAAGCTGTAATAGCCCTATCTCTTACTGGAATTTTATTATTGAAACTGGTTGTTAATAGTATTACAAGACAGTGCATATATCATGGATATAGAGAATGGGCTAAAATATACTCGCATGAAACTGACAAATATCTAGAAAGAGAAAAAGTGATGGTGCACTCAATATCTATGCTAACTATATATATTAAAGAATTTAACTGCTAGATGTTTAAATCTAATTAAAAATTCTATTTGAAAAAAATTCACGCGGACCAGGCAGCAGATGGGACTCGAAGCCGCACCCTCCACTTTGCGGGTGGATGCACTGACCATTATGCTACCGTGGCACAGCACGGCAATGTCATGGCCGTGTCTAATTCCTTCTAGTATTTCGAAGGCTGCAAGGCAGCATACAGCAACTTCAAATCTATACTATTTGCTGCATGATCGCTTTGTCTCTTGTCACACTTACATGACCAGTTTTAATTTATAGTTAGACGTTTACTGTCCTTCTCAAACCCTTAATTCCATAGCATTATGGCGTGATTACATTAGGTTGCAAGCCCGAATACGAGTGTCAATGGAATTCGGGTAAACGACTAACTGTAAATGAACTGAGTCGAGTACGCCCGTGTTCGGGTAGTTTTCTTTTTGGTTACTGTTGTTTGTCTTCCAGCTAGGGCTGCCATCCGTCCGGGTTTTCCGGATTTGTCCTAGTTTACGGGGCGTCCGGGGAGCGTCCGGGCGGGGTTTTATTTGTAGTCCGGGTTTAATAATTTACGGCAACACATGAATGGCCCTTGGTGCTGCAAGTGTCCATGGGCAGCAGTGACCACTTATTATGAGGTAGACCGCTAGCTATTTTGCCTAGATCATCATAAAAATGTTGATTTGTAATATTTTTAACTATTTTTTATTGGTCTGTCCGGGTTCTGGGCTCCAAAATCCGGGATTATCACGCGTCTTATCCTGGTTGCCACATTTTAGAGATGGCAGCCCTACTTCCAGCCCGTATTCCAGTGTAAATATCGCTTCGGGTGCCCGAAATCGAGTAATATCTTGTTTATCCGAATACGGTCTAACCACCAAGTGTAATAGAGCTATTATACGTGAAATATTTCTGCAGTACTCTGAAGTTTGTGACAATCTTTTATAGAGAGTGTTTGCATTTCATCTGGTAAATAGTTGCCAATGTTTTATACAAAACTTGTGTTACTACTTGCTTTAAATTCAAATTTCCCTATAACATTAGCAAAATGTCATGAAATAATGACACGTTTTATTGTAAGAAACAGAATTTACACCTTAATAATTTCACTATTTATTTTTCAGATTCGATACTAGTCACAACCGCAGTAATTCCCTGAGCAAATCTCTGCCTATACAAAGGAATCTCTCTAGTTACGAAAACTTTGACACACCACAAACGGAAGCTTCAACTCCCGAAGTGACAATACCGAACCAGAATTACCAAAACGTCGGCAGAATGGACGAAATCGGCATTCCAGTATTCGAAGATGAATTATCTAGTCCTATCCTCATCAGAAAGTTTAACCAAAGTGATAAACCGAGCCTTTCTTCCCCCATAGGAAGCCCATACGAAAACGTGTACTACAGAAATAACTACAGCAACTTCAAACCCAAATCCCCTAACACCCAAAGTCCTAGAACTCGAATAAAAACAACTTTCGCCCACAAAAACTTGCCATCTCCCCAATATTTCATATTTCCCACACCCCCGCCTAAAGATGACACTAAATCCCCCCCGCCTAAAGATGACTTCACCCAAAACAGTTCGCCCGTTAATGTAGAAAATAGTCCAATCAACGCTAAGTTAGAGTCTCCTCATTCTCCTAAAGATATTAAACCGGTGAGTCCTAAGAAAGAAGGAATAGAGAAACAGTTAAGTCTAGAAGAAGAAATACCTATGATTGACGATGCAGATTTGACTAATGATATCGAATTCCGATATTCAAAAATCGTTACGGAAAAGGGTGAAGATCAGAAAAATGATTCTCCAAAGGAACCTGAAAGCGTGGACCAGATTTTGACAAAGAATTTGAGTTTTGACGATGTAAAGAAAGAGTTGATGGCTGATATTCCGGAATTGGAGGAATTCGAAAAGGATTTGAAGCAAAACAAGCAGGACAAACTTATAAAACACATCACGGAGACTGTAAGAAAGGTATGTATGTTCAATAATAAGCCGAGTAAGTATTATAGTTGCTTAATACAATATTTATTACTGTAGGGGATATAGCCAATGTTACCACCAACTTAGCGTTTCCCCAAAATTTAGGGAGCTATAAATGAGCTGGGATTTTACATTTTATAGAAACGGTTGAGTTTTTTAAAAAAAATATTAAATTTAGCCTTTTTCTTATAATATAAAAATTACGGCACTTCAACAAAACACACAACGTATTGTCACGTAACACTGTAATTAGGGATATTACGAGCTTTGTTTACATAAACTTTAAGAATAAATATTTTTAGGAGATGTAACTGTAATTTGTCCAGCAAATAAAAAACAATGATTTCGTTTCCTTTTGTTACTTTAGCTTTCTTATTATTTTTACTTAGGTTGATGTAGAAGCGGATTCCATAGACAGCGCAGTCATAGACGACAACGTGGACGAATTGAAGACCAAATACGACACTTTGAAGGACGAGCGCAAGAAACTAGTGTCCCAGATTCACGAAATCAAGTGTAAGATGACGGAGATAAGGTCACAGGAGGACGATATACTGAGAGAGGTAAATAAACTAATGAATAGTCTATTCAACTTCCTTTCGTTTTTCAATAGGTCGAATGTTATATGCATGTCATCATAATTTAAAAAATGTGACTATAAAACCTAAAACTGTAGCTAATCCCAAACTTTGAACGCATTATAATTCTACTCAATTGAAGAGTAGTGATAAAGCGATTACGTTGAAATGTGAAATTTTGTAATGAGTGTGGTCACATCCACGGAGGAAAAACAAAGAGGAGGTGTGGTGATTAAATTTCCTCAAGAAACGACGCGTGATAATTTGCGGGATGCGGGGTGTTCAGCTCCGCCCACTTCTCAATATTTCATCTATCGGCTAATAGCAAAACTAGCTTAGGTTGATATTTATGTTACAACGTAGTAGTTCAGCTATCTAACACTAGATGTCAAAAGTTTTGTATATAATGGAACGTACTCAGAACTTGAAGCTTCAAAAAAATGAAATATGTAGGTAAATAAATAAAATAAACGTTAGCACATTTGACCGATTTTAAAATTTTTAAGGTATAAATTTTATTATTTTAAAACATGTAACTGTTTGATGAAAAAAAATCCAGGCAGATCAGGCAGCAGACGGGACTCGAACCCGCACCCGCTCCCGTCTGCTGCCTGGTCCGCGTGGATATTTTTCTAGTTATATTTTCTTTAGATTTAAATTTTAAGGTAGTTTAAAAATAATAGACAAAATGTTATTACAAACATAATTTTATTAAAAAACATCAATTACCTGTAAATAATAGTTTTGGTTAGTTGTTGTCGGTTGGTTGCCCTATCGTTTTGTATTGTGGCAAAATGCTTAAAACGAATATCAATATATTTTTCTGCAATCGATTTCATCAGAAATACAACATGATTAACTGTAGGTGATTGGTCAAACATATGGTTGGCCGATTTTTTGAAACAATCTTGTCCAATAAGTGATTTTAATGTATTCGATACAATTTTATGTTTACGAAAGTTAGGAGTATTCAAAGATTGCGATTTAACACAACGAATACTGCCTTCGGTCCGTATACATATTTTTATGACAGGAAAGTAAGACCACCCTTATTTTTAGTTTTTATCAAATCAAGGTCACTATCGTCGTAGTTATCAGCATATAATTCTTTGAGACAGCTCTCACATTTGATCTTGGAATGTAAATATTTGACCACATACCCAGAAATATATGCTACTATTTGACGGCGCAAATAGTCACCTATAGTTGTATTTAATTGTTCATCAAATTCCAATAACATATCGTCAGGCATAGGCTCGACATCCGTGCTATCCGAAGACTCGAAACTCATTTTATTTAAAATGCGATAACGTTCTGATGTAATATTAATTTTTTGCACAGAAGATTCATTGAAAATGGAAATATCTTCTTCTTCTATGGTGTCCAATCCGGTCTATTAAGTTTTGAAATCCATTGCTGTTTTAAATTATCGTTGGATGGAAATCTAAAACGAACATAAAAATAATTAAAATTTATTTACTTGGTAAAATAATTTAATACGTATTACGGCCCTGGATATTTGTAACGTTTAAAAAGTTATTCTATATGACTCCAGATGGCGGCCAGTTAGTTATATATTGATAAAATTACTGTTTTAGATACTAAAAGTTATTAAGGAATAAGTGTATAACAGTTTTCAGTATTTACGTATGATTATTACACTATACTACTGCAAAATTATACGTAAACTTGTGTATTTTCTTCCTAAAAGTGTCGCCATCTGGTGTCAAGTAGTAGAATTTTAACGCTGATAGCTGAGGCTGAGAATGTTCTAGAACTTATATATTTAATTACGTATAAAATTACTTACAAATGAAATGTGATGCCATCCATATTATCAGAACGTCTGTCTGAGTAACTTTGACATAGTAAAACCCAAAACTTCATCCTTTTCTCGTTAAAAACGCAAAAGAACACTTATAATGCGAGTCTCGTTAAGTGTGCACCTGACGAACGCTGAAAGCATACTGACTTAGGCCCCGCCCACAATGATGACGTCAGGACCTAGTTGAAAATCACAGTGCACAGTTGCTTAGGCCAGCTCCTCTTTGTTTTTCCTCCGTGGTTTCACCGATAAAGCTAACCTTGCAGTTGATGTGACACATCAACCATCTTTGACGGTCTCGATAAAAAAGTTTTAGAAACATTAGTTTGTTTGTTGAATAAAGTTCAACTTCCTCTGAGAGAAAAATTCAATTATGGGATAATTATACTGACAACTTGCGGACCCGATAGACATAAAAATATAAAAAAAATCGCTTAAAGCTGGTTGCAGCGGGTAGAGTTGTAACTTTTAATTTACTTTCAAAAATGTGGATGAAATTTGTAATATTTAGCTAAAGTAAATGAATTTTGCTGAGTGCAAGATATTAAATAATTGAATCTCAAAGTGGGCGGTAGACATGAATCCTCTTGAAGAATAGAATAACTTCGTCCTTATACAATTTTTAATGCCTTATTTTAACCCTTTTCAACTTTTATCTTCGTGACATAATGGAGCTTATTATTTAATCTACCTCTATACTAACATTAAACAAGCCATCTCTCCCAGCCAAGTGATACATAATGAGGACAAAAAAGGCTTTATTTACAGAATTACTAAATCTTATTTTATCTTTTTATAGCTTGAAATGGAGAAAGCTCTTATAAAGGGTGAATACGACTCAGAAATAGCGATACTGAACATAGAACAGAAGAAGAAACTAGAATTAGCGGACAAAGCGAAAAAGATAGAAGAAGAAATAAAGCAACTGAAGGAGAAACAGGAAGCAAGACAAAACGAGATGCGAGATCGGGTCGAAGTCGCCACTATGAAAGTTGAAAGGTAACTTTTATATTTTCAATCTTATTACAATCGAATGGGACTGAAATTTGGTTGGCGTCAATTTGATGATAGAAATAATGTTTTATTTACATAGTTGTATATTTATTTATGAAAAACCACCTTAATAATTATTAATAGAAATGGTTCAGCAGTTCCACGGGTTTGAATCTTGTCTGAAATTCAAACAAAGAGGATTTTTTCTGTACACTTATAAATGTAGCAGTTTATAATGCTTAAAAAAATATATTACAAATAGATTTTTTTTTCACAAAATCGATTGTTTTCCACAAAAGTAAGTAATAGAACATAGAATTGTTACAAGTATCTACGTCTGTCTTTGTATTGGAAAAGAAGATATGATGTGCTTACATAGTTATAAACAAAATACATTTTACTCACATTTGCTTTACGCTTTCTGGCTGTCTTTTAAGGATCGAGAGGTAATTGGATTTCTGTATTTTATACTAGCATCTAAACATTGTTCAAATAGTTCAGATAATAATTACATTCTATGAGAGAATAGGGTTTTTGAAAAGTTTTAGAAAACAATCTCACGTTATTGACACATGTTTATGAAGCCTTAAAAAAGTGGATATTTTTAATTCTGTTGTGTAATTCGGTAAAAAAACTAAATTAAATATTCAATTTTCAAGTTGCCGCGAAAACGTTTCTCCGCTGTTATGGCGTCTCACTAGTATGTGACGTCATACCACTGTCACTAAAACGTCAAACGATTCAATGTGATGTCACTTTGGCCGGAAGTTTACTAGCGTGATTTTAGTCGAGCAATCCCAGGCCTTTTCGGTCACGTGACCATGGAGCAAAAGATAATTTATATTTAATGATTTTATAGAAAGGTTATTTAATAATTGTTCTTTCACTAGAATGTAACTAGAAATAAGACAATGCTGTTGTTTTCCTGAAATAAATAAATTCAGAATAGTAAAATCGCTGCTAATATTCATAATACAGATGCCACCAATTGGTTCATTATTTTTATGACTGTCACATATCATACGTTATCTTTAAAATAATGTTGTGTTCCTTAATTTTATTTAGGTTGGAGAAAGACTTTAAGGAAAATACGACGACATTGGAAGAACTTCAGAACGCTCAAGATATTTTGGACAATGAAACGAAAATATTTGAGGATTTGGAGTTTCAACATTTGGAAGAGGAGTCTGAATTGTATGTAAAAAAACTCAATCTAAATCCTTTTTATATCAATTTGACTGATTTTAGATGCTCTTAATGTGTACATTATCCCAGATAAGTTTGAATATTATTTGTACAAAATCTTTTAAAGATTCGCCAGTGGCTTTTTTGTTGTTAATTTCAATTCAATTCCTTATTACACAACAACAATTTTCTAAAAAAGAATTGTTATATGACAGAATATGATAATTTTGTACCGTATTTGTAACATGAGTTTTCTTTCCTACAGATTGGCCAACAGAGAAGACTTGCAAAACGAAATAGTATTACTAACCAAAAAGATTGAGGCGCAGAAATCTCGAATACTAAATCTCAAATCCGAAGCGAACAGTAACCTCACGTCTGCATTAGACGAAACCAAAGTGCTAAGGGCCGAGTACTTAAAACTATTGAACAACGTAGAAGAGTTGACTGGTAAAGTGCAAACCTTGGAGAAAGAATTGAAACCGATTGTGAGCAAACTCAACGACATCGATCGAACACAATCCCCTGATAGCGCCTTCTACACAGATCAGACAAGAGCAAAATCCGGGGAATTCGGATATTCCCCCCAAAGCTCTGACAGTGACGATTTGGACCTAACCAGAATATCCGAAGATCACACCAAACAGCTTAAGGACAAATTCAATTCGATCGATCAGATGTCCCAATCGATGTTCGTCGAAATCGAGAGACGAGTTATTGGTGATATCGCCGAGCCGATCGACCACGAGAATCGATACAGCGAGAGTCCGTCTAAGACCTCTACTTCTTCTAAAGAGAAGAAAGGATTTTGGGAAAGGAACTTCGATTCGCTCAAACGAAAGAATAAAAAACAGAAATCACCCGAAAAGGTCGACATCATGTCGCAGAGTTTGAACGAGAACATTTTGTTCAATGAAAATATAGAAAACGAATTTGATAAATTCAACAGCTTGAGACATTCCAAGAAGAAGGAGAAGAAGGAAAATGGCCCTGTTAAAAGTAATTCTTCGTCTAAAATACCGACTTTCGCTGCCTTAGGAAAAATAATAAAAAAGGATTCCTTCGGCAAAAAGTCTAAAGAGAATTACGTTAAAAACGACGACGTTGCCGAGAACAATATCAAAAACCGTTACATTAAAAATGCAAAACCTGTAGCTGCTGATAATAAATATATCAAGGCTAAATCTTTGTCTCCCGATAAAACGAAACAGGAAGATGTTTTAAAAGAGGAAACAGCTGAAGAATCTAAAGAAGCCACAAACCAAAAAGGTCACAATGTAACGTTTGAAAATCTTATTCGTCAGACGTCCATAGACAACAGCAATAATTCTGCGAAGATTTATCACAGAAAGAGTTGTGGCGATGAGCCTAATATTAAAGATTTACAGAAGAAGATATCTGATTCGGGCAAGATTCCTTCCCAAGACGACATCGATAGGATATCTAAAGTGACAATGGATGCTCCGATCCTGTCCAGTGATACGGACATGAATTCTTTAGGGAAAAGAACTTTGGATAGTTTGATGGAGATTGAGAGGAAGAGATTGGAAATGTTGGAAGAACAAGGTTGGTATAATTTATAGCTAATAAAACTTTAAGAAATTAGTGTTATCTTTTGACTTTACAAAAACTTTGCCCTCGTATTTCTTATTATGACTACGTTGACATCTTTGGTGTTTCGAAATCCTGGTTTATATAGCCGGTAGAAACGAGAAATTCCGTAGTGACTCAGATCAAGTATTGTTGTTGTCCATATAATTTCTATAACACAATTTGTTAATCATCCGAAAAGAAAACACTTTTCCTAACAAACATATAACGAAATTGCTAAACTTGATCGAAACTTCAATTCAATTACAATGAAAGTTGAACTTTACTGCCTTCTATTAAAACTCCAACTCTCAACAGGATGCCAAGTGATAGAAAACGAAAGGGAGAAGATATCGGAACTGAAACGTCGTGTCCAAGACGAGACCAAAAAGCTTTGGGACCAGAAGTACCGCTCTGAGCAGTCCAAGTCATTCGACGAAAGCTACCATAGTACGAACAACTTCGATATCAGAAGCGACAGTGGAAGAAACTTCGACAGGCCCGAAGACACTAGCCTTATTGACGATAGCTTCATGAATTCCAGCATGTTCGAAGATAGGTGAGTGTTTTTAGTTTTTACGTTTAGCCAATTTGATTCCTAACCCATCTTAAACTTATTTTGTCACAACCATTTCGGAGAAGGTGCGGAAGTATTACATAATTTGATTCCCACTTCCCCTTTCCACCACCGGACGACCAGAAACGGCGAAGGCTTTCGCCCTTATGGTGTCGAAGTTCCTCCCATTCGCACGAAGCGATTTGCTATGCGAACTATGCGAACGGCTAGGGAGTGGAACTCCTTGCCGAGGCCAGTTTTCCTGGACCAATATGATCTAGACATCTTAAAGGCCAGAGTGAACAGGCATCTTCTAGGCAGGCGTGTACCATCTTGGGCCTCATCATCGCTTTCCATCAGGCGAGACTGTGCTCAAACGCCTCGCCTATTAAGCATTAAAAAAAAAGAAAAACCATTTCAAAACGAGTTTTATTTTGCTTAAATGTATGTAGCCCTGGAAACAAACTTGTTATTTTCTGAACAATCATAACTGATGCGACAGATTTTTCGCCTTCCTGTAATATAATTTTGACAAATTTAAATTCTTTCTACTTCCGCCCATGGACTAAGGATTTAGCTATTAGTTAACCACCTTTTTTATAATGTCAAGAAATCGAAAGAGTTTCTTACGATTTTTAAAGTGATTTCCAAATTCAAACTTGTATTCCAGATTTATTTATAATATAATCTATCTATCATTGAAAATAAAGGTTTAATTTCAAATATCTTTGATCCATATTAATAGAGTTTCCTTGTTAATAGGAGATCCTTAGTGCAATTAAGAATTCTCTTCGAATAACGTTTGTAAGCGAATTTATCGTGCAAGTGGGTCACGAATCAGTTGGTTCCAACTTACAATTCATTTTTCTTTATCAAATAAAACCTGTACCCCAAGCACTAGCTTTGGTAGATCCGTATTCGTATCGCCAACCAGCCAGCGCCCCTACCGGACGTAAGCACAAACTAGCTTTTACTAAAGAAACTTACCACTTTTTTCATAGTACTTTCGTACTTAGTGCACTGATAATATCATATAATTAGTTTTTACATATCTAATTGATTTACTTCCCACCAAAGAAATTGTTGGTTTATAAGAGAGGTAGTAAAAAGTGTTGCTATTTTCCCAATCAAATGGGTATTTGACAAGTTTTAGAAAACGATAAAAACTAAATCAAATATAAAATTTTTGCGCAGTTGTAGCATATTAGAGCAGTACCTTGAAGTCATTATTGTATTGAATACGACAGTCTCAGAACATTGAGCAAACTTACGGGCCAACATATTGGCCCTCTTAGACAATACCCTTCGCTCCCTTTCAAGGTCGGCGTCATCCTTTAAAGTATCTGTAACAATATGACCTAGATACTTAAATTGCGTAAATCTACAGAGATCAGATAAGAGTCTTAAAATTATTTATACACTTTTTATGGTATTATAAGATAAACTATGATGTGAATAGGTTCCACAGATATTCAAATGCATTCTCAAAGCGCTGATAGAAGGAGCCAGCAACACCATATTATCAGCGTAACCGATATTATTTAGGCGAACACTCCCTACGTGACAGCCGACATGTGTGCCGCTAACTCCTCAATTAGCGCGTTGATATACAGATTAAATAATTTCGGTGAAGTTCTTCCCCCTTGCCTAACCCCACATTCTAACCTGAACTCCTCCGAATGCACACCAGACCATTTCACACAATTTGCCTGGTTCCCGTACCAGAACTTAAACAAAGATATTAAGTCTAAGGGTAAACCACACCCCTTTAATTTTTCCCACAGAATACTGTAGTCAACCAGATCGAAAGCCCTGTATAGGACCAAAAAACAGGCGTACGCCTCGCCGGGGTCTTTCTATCTGTGTAGTAGTTGATGGCGTATTTGACTTTAATGACGAATGGATTTTTTATTTTTATTAACTGTTTGTATGATAGCTTGAATAATATACATTCATATAATGCAGACAATGTTTGTATGACCTACTCAGCAACAGAAACTCACTGCATACAATAAATTATATATTTAACAAAGAACGTCTGCAATGAAAGTGAGACCATCAAAGTTTGCACAAGTGAATTAGTTATTTATTATACAAGAGTGGAAAGTTCCTTTTTAACCGCGTGCTCGATTTGGATGACCGAGCAAGCGAAGGATTCTAAAGTTGAATCACGAGCGCAGCGAGTGATTCTAAATTAGAATCCTGAGCGTCAGCGAGGGAAACAAACGAGCACAAGGTGAAAAATCTTTCCACTCGAGTGCAATACGTAACTTTTCATCCCACCTCAGCGAGGAAATGACAAAATGAAAAAGAAAACAATTTATAATGACAAAATATTTAAGCAATAAAACGTGAAAAACTAGAATGGCGCGAAGCACGCAAATAAAACAAAGAAACCAAGAAGGTTCCAAATTTAAATTTTTTCACAATTTAAAAAGTTCTAATCATAAATTTGGCACCATAGAGGTTACATTAAATAGGTTTAATGACGTTTTGAATTTACAATTATATTGAGTACTCATTATATGTGATGTTCTAAATTCAAATCTACTTTGCCGCTCAAGCGAATAAAATAGAATTTTCCAGCCAGATTTCGAAGCGCAAAATTACACTTTCCGAGGTGGTGGGATGAAAAAATAATTAAACACTTGGTGCGTTATATAAGCAATGTCACTCAATGGGTATTGTTTTATGAAAATTGCTAACTTTGTAAATCTGTTACGGTCATATGATGTGCTAGAGACTGCGTAGAGAAAAATGAGCATCTATTAATTTCCTGTGCTGATGATAAATATACTTCATCGACGGTTTTTTTTAACAAGCATTTGACCCGTCTGCCCGCTTTCAATATCAAAAATATCTCTTACGCCGTTGCCTACCCTGACCCAACCCCCTACTCCGTGGAGCCATGAAACCTTACTCACCGACAGAAACACAACATCACCAAAAGGTAGTGTCATTTTACTGTTGTCTTCTGTAAGGTGGAGGCTGCTTCCCTAAGCAGGCGCTCCAATTCGAGCGGAAAATCAGTTATGCCCTACTTCTCTTATAGGATAACTATACTTCGAAACTGACCAGAACCTGACCCAAAATTTTCCGAACGTCATATCAGTGGCTTTGTTAACGCCAAATGTAACAACGTAGAGGTATGGCTATGGGATTGTTTGGGCTAATAAGCATATTAGTATTGCGTGTAAGAGTATCTAGTACATACCAAAAAACATATCCCCATCCCAATCTGCCCTGTCTGTCTGTTAAACTTTCAAACGCATTTTGATATAAAGGGGGCCTTGGTAAAGGAAGCTGCTTTCTATCGCAGAATTACGTGGGACTTAAAGGTAAAATTTTGTATTTATGGAAAACCTAAGTAGTACTTACGCAGACGAAGTGGCTATCTTAATATTTATTTACATCAGTCAACACGAATTTTGAGTCCGAGCTCTTTGTACCAGATTTTGATTTCTTATACTTATATTAATATTTTTATGCATTTAAATCACTTTTATTTACTAAAGACAATAAAACTAAGTCTATGAATACAAAAGAGATATTAATTTATTTTTTTTGCATTTATTATTAGTTTTAGTCTGAAAATTCAAGAAAAATGTCTTCAGAATAATGACGTAAAGCCTTATATATTTTTATTCAATTAACCAATTTTGCAAGTGATACTTTAAAATAACCATAGGGTCCATAACGAATAAGAATATATCATACTTAAAATTATATTTCATTTTCTGACACTGAACAGAATGTGCTGCTGGTAGTGAAGTAAACAAAATACAACATGGACATGTTGTATATCCTCATGTGACGTTCATATTTCATCCTGACTTCGCATAGGAATTTAAAATTAAGCTTCATATGCTTTATTAAGTCTTTTACTACTAGATAAACTAAATTTTTTGACCGCTGTTTTAATAAAATAAAGCATACGCAGTCCACATTGTTTTTACAAATTTTGGAAGACATTTTACCGCTCAAGACTTACAAAATAATTCGTTTCTCTAAAAATGTGACACTTGAGTGTTTGGTATACTGCTTCCTGTTCAATACCCGATATCCTTCTGCACTCCTTTCTTTTGCTTATTAAAAGCAGTAGTCCCTCAGCTATTACAAAAACTTTTTCATTTATCATTTCAAAAAGTACGTAAGTTTTTTATAATAATGAGGGGCTGATTATTTTTCAACTTAAACAATCAGAAAATATTCATTAAATAACAGACTCAAATTTCGTTTTTCATTTTGTTGACTAGTGTGATCGTTACTGAACACAGACACACGCCCAAATCGTGTCCACATTTTTAAACTGCAAACTATTTCATGCAACGATTTGACACACAATCAACAAACAGCTGATAACAACGGGCCAGTCTAAGCGCGACAACCGTAGACTACAAACGTCTTTGTCGCACGCGAAATTAATTGACCGGTGCGTGAAAAAAAAGTACTGCCAATAACATAAGGGTGTTGATTTTGTTAAAGTAAAAATCGTGTATTAATATTGTGTTATAATAGCTTTGGTTTTTTACGGTTATTGTAAAACACTAAATGCAATATTTATACGCTTACTCCTTTTTTATTGTTTATCTATATTCATTTGTTAGTTTATATTATAAAGATCTGTGCCAAAATGTGATACTATCAAAACATACCACTATTGAGACGCGATTTCTAAGTTTGTTTAGCAGAATCGACACCAGTTCTGCTAGATTAACTCTGTAATCTTATCAATCTGGTGTTTTAATTTTCAATGATATATCGATTTTTCAACACAGTTCTGGTTACTTTATCAAAATAACATCAACGAATGAATAACTGTGATCATATATATATATTTTACTTGTAATAAGAACTTTATAAAATAACAATACGATCAATAAGTTATCTTGGCAGAATTGACACCCAGGGGGCCAATCGCCTAACTGGATTGCTTTGGAAAACGCTATCGCTTACGATTTCATTTTGTTATTTCTAGCCGCCTGAGGTTTTCAAATGCCTCG